ACGTTTTCATTTAAAGGATTTGCCACTGATGCGAGTTTTGTGCAGTGTAGAGTAGCGTTTGTAGCTTGTCATTTCTCCGATCACAAATGTAGACATGGTTTTATGTTTACGCGGTGCGATACGCAACACAACGCGTAAAAAGACAGTATAAGTCAATATAATCAGTAATTATGTCCCCACTGGATGCAACAAATGCCTCGTTTGTAATGGGTTTTCATGTTTTTTGTTCCGTCGCTCCGGCCGGACAGGGCATCACAGTATGGTAAAGGGACGTAACATTTCCGTCACACGCTTGAGGTATTTGGCCAATCACAACGCACTGGATAGCTGGCCAATCACAGCACACCTCGCTTTTCAGACCGATGAGCTTTGTAAAAATCGACGCGTTTCAAAAAGGTGGGGCATAGAGGAGAAACAATAATGTACAGTATGTGGAAAATAATGTGTTTTTTGAACTTTAAACCGCATAAACACATTTCATTACACCAAATACACAAAATAATGTTCTTTTTAGCAGCATCAAATGACCCCTTTAAGTATTCTTTGACAAATAGCAAATAAAAAATAAATCTTTTGAAACCTTATAAAATGTCTTCACTGTGACATCTGATGAACTTAATGCATCAATGCTGACAATATTTATTTAAAAAAATACTGATCACAAACTTCTGAATAGTAGCATAATTATAGATAAATACATGGCCCAGATCAAATAATCAGCCAAAATGAGGCAATTTTTGGTAATGCCAGAATAGAGCCAGATTGCACAAATAAATACTTAGCTGTTGGTTAATAATATCCATCAGCCCACATCAGTAGAAAAAGGAAAGATGTTTTCAGAATTGATTTTAAAGAATTTAGTTTTTGTTGTTGTTGTTAACATTCGAATTATATACTACTACCACAACGTTTTATGTGCAACATCAAGAACTGGAAGGTTCACAATATGTGCACTAACTACAATTCTGATTTCACATTGACCTTAATATGCATCGGCCTGTGCTGTCAGTTCTCTTTTTGTGACCGGCATTCAGTAAAGTTGGCATTACCTTATGAGAAAGCACTAAAAAGCACTCCCGGATCGGCTGTCCTTGATTGTGGAAAAGAGTAAGTCATCAGTCAACACTGTTGCTGTGCGCTGGGCTAGATAATGTGAACGTGGAAGAAAAGCTCCAGTGGAAATGAGGCAATCTGCCCCCATACAGCTGCAGCAGGACCGTGCGGTTCAAACGGCCACCTGTGTGACAGGCCGGACACGAGCCACCTGACTGGCACGGCCCACACTCTGCTCATTTTCCACACGCCTTCGAGAAATGAAAGCCTTTGGTTCCCTCACAGTCGCCTGGCTCAATCCTCCTGTCAGGATTTGATTTCTAACACTCACTCTCTCATGCGTGATTGAAGACCTGTCCGTCATGTCGAACGTCAGATGTCAAAACCGAGTTAAGATGCTTTTGAAAGCATTTAGCATTAAAAATACAACTAAATGAGTCGCTTTAACAAGCACAAAGCTTTTATCTCACAGATAAAGCTCAAAAAGAGAGTTCAGATAGGGTTTACACAAGAGATTGAACAGAATGTCCATCTGGCATTTCATACAGAAACCCTGCTTTCGTGATTTATCCTCCAAAAAGCACCAGTTCTCCACTGGCATAAACATTTGGGCTATTTATGCGCTCTAATATCAGACTAAACCCTATACTTTCCTATTGGCTCGCAAACACACATCTGAAGCAGTGTCGGCCTCACCTTTCAGCTTCATCTCTCCAAACTTGATAAAAGGTCTGAAATCTAAACTTCCTGTCATTTAGAAAGAGCAAACAAGAAGCGAAAAGCGACGGAGGCGATCCGGCAGACGCTTCCACCTGTTCGTGACAGAACAAATGCCAAAGAACTGGAGAAGAAACCTCTTATTATTGAGAAGCAGCCTCTCGTGGGGACACTGACAGCCTTATCAGGTGTGCAGCAGAGATCTTGCCAACAAATCCTTTCTCTGCCGTGAGATCTACACTCTGCCTGTGAATGAGAAGCTTAAAGGGTCTCTGATGGTACATCAAGCAGACAGAACTTCCATCAGAGGAATGCATATCAACTCACCTACAGCTCGAGCAGATCTGTAGTCCTTGAACATCATGTGTTAAGCAGACGCTCAATCTCCCGGTGACGGCACCCTGTTAAGAAGACAATACAGGCTTAGCTGCATTTAGACGTTAAGGGGACTGAGGTGTCTCTATGAAACAGCCTTGTGAGTATATATCAGTGAGAAAAAACAGATGACTTTTCATTAGCATAATAAATGTCTTGGAGAAGGCAATCTAAATTCAGCGAGAAACAAATATACAAATAAACCCAAAATATCCATAATGCACAGCAGTTTAGTAGTCAAAGTCGCCTGGGATCATCTGATTCAAGAATAGCCAGAGTCCAAAATTAACTGTTTACTTCAGCTCCCGATAGCGGATGAGCTGAGTTTATTTACCAGGCATAAATATTTCTTCCCAGGCCTGAAACTGCATTTTGCATTTTTATTAAAAATGTTTTTTTTTGTCCCTCATGACAATGGAATTATCTTGCATATTTGTGGCAGCGCAGGTCACTGTGTCACTCCTACAGTCTGTCTTTCAGCGAAACAGCACCTGTCATAAAAACTGTGAAGATTAGAATTTTGATTAGAATTTTGGGTCTTATATTTTTGCGTCAGTAGCTTAAAGGGATAGTTCACCCAAAAATGAAAATTAGCCCATTATTTACTCACCCTCAAGTCATCCTAGGCGTATATGACTTCCTTCTTTCAGATTAATCCAATTGGGAGTTATATTAAAAATTGTCTTTGATCTTCCAAGCTGTTTAATGGCAGTCAGCAGGTGTTGCAGTTCATCAGTCCAAAAGAAGTGAAATAAAGCGCATCCATCCATAATAAAAAGTGTCTCACACTGCTCCGGGGGGTGAACAAAAGCCTCCTGTAGCGAATTGATGCATTTTTGTGAGAAAAATATCCATATTCAAAGCGTAATAATCACTTTAATCTAGCTTGCGCCAACAGTTGTATACGGAAGCAGCTCCGGGCGGATGACGTAAGATGTCTTTATTCACCCCCCGGAGCTGTGTGAGGCACTTTTTATTGTGGATGGATGTGCTTTATTTCACTTCTTTTGGACTGATGAACTGCAACACCCGCTGACTGCCATTAAACAGCTTGGAAGATCAAAGACAATTTTGAATATAACTCCGACTGGATTCTAAAAAGAAAAGACTGAAAGAAGAAAGTCATATACACCTAGGATGCCTTGAGGGTGAGTAATTCATTCAATTAACTCTTTAAAGACAGCAACTCGACACGCATAAATGAATCGCTGCTTTATT